TCCATAAATCATATAGACAAAAAATTGGACAGATTGGTTTTCAGCATACCACATGGAAGCACCAGAGGAGGTAAGTTGATTTAATAAACTATTGACAATCTGATATAACTACAGTAACTTATTTTTCTCAAGGACCCATTTCGTATAATTATGCCTGAACACATGTTTTTCCATGCAGTTGTAAGACTTCTTTGGGAGTGCACTAAACTATCAACTATTCTGAGAAATTAATATTGCATTTTGCAATGCAGAATCGACCATTACGTCTTTAGCGTACACTGTTAGTTTTAAAGTCAACAAATAAAATGCATAATTTTATCATTGAGAGTCCTACAACACACCTCCAGACTTGAATGTTCGAACAATTGTTTAGTTTATCTATTAAACAATGGTCATGAACACAATGTCCTCATTAATTTCAGATATGAAGCGGTGATTTCACGTCAGTCAGTCACAACGTAGAATGTCGTACGTACGTACATCAGTTCGAGTTGCCATACCACATTAGCACAGAGATGCAATTGTCGATTCAAATCCCATAGTGGTAGAAGTAGTAGGAGTATAATCAGAAATCCAAAAGATTAGGGTTTGAAGAAATTATTGAAGGAGTATAGTAAAGTGAAATAAATTTGGAAAGAGAAAAAGATAAAGACATGAGGAATTCATAAGATTAGAATTTGGTAGAACACAAAGTGTGGATGCACCTGCACCATTGCAAACGATTTTGAGCCATGTCATTCAAGGTCTCTAACCATCGGTTGCTATCATTTCGTGAATCCCAACCAGGTAGTCTACACCTACCAACATGGCTCAGTCCAATTGTCAGTGAATTCATTGATTTGTGCCAAGTTTTGGTCTGGCTACCCCTAGCTCTCTTCCAACCTACTCCTACACCATGAAACATTGCACGTTGGGGCAGTCGGTGGTCGGGCATACGTAACACATGTCCCAGCCATCTCAACTAATGAAGTTTCACTACTTCATCAATCGATTTGCCATCCCTATCGAGTACTCGTTTCCTAACAACTGCATTACTTACCTGGTGGTCCCAGGATATACGAGCAATGCTTCAAAGACACCTATGATCGAACACTAGTAGTCTACGAATATCCTCTACTCTTATTGGCCATGTTTCACTGCCATAAAGTAGGACGGAGCGAACTGCTGCACAGTAAACCCGTCCTTTGGTTGCTAGACGGATATCTCGCCTACGCCATAAATGACGCAAGTTGGCGAAAGCTAGACGAGCCTTCTGTATTCGTGCTGAGATTTCGTCACATACCAGACCATAAGGGCTGATGAGACTCCCAAGATAAGTGAAGTGGTCTACACGCTCAACTACTTCACTCCCTATCATTAGTTCAGGTGTCGATGCAACCCAATCCTGAAGTAACATTTTGCACTTCGAGGGAGAGAATCGCATCCCGAACATGCCTGCATTGTTGCTTATAGTGGTCAGAAGACTCTGCATGTTGTCAGCGTCTTCACCGAGTAAAACTATGTCGTCGGTGTATTCTAAGTCAACAAGTGAGCCTCCTGGTAAAAGTTCAACTCCTGGAGGTTTAGCTGATGAAAGTGCTATCTCTAAAAGTATGTCAATGACAAAGTTAAACAAGAATGGAGAGAGTGGACAGCCCTGACGAACGCCACTTGTGGTAATCAGTTCTGATGACAGTTCACCATAGGCTCTAACTCGACCAGTTGTGTTCGAGTAGAGAGCCTTTATGAGGTTAATGTACTTCTTTGGTACTCCTTTCAGTGACAAACATTGCCATAGAACCTCACGATCAACGGAGTCAAATGCCGCCTTAAGGTCAAGAAATACTACTATTGTGGGACGTCTGAATTTGTGTCTATGTTCTAGGACCTAACGTGGAGTGAATATCTGGTCTATGCAACCACGTCCAGGTCGAAAACCAGCCTGGTTTTCTCTAGTCTGCTCTTCACGAGCTTTGGTTAGGCGACCTAGTATTATTGAAGCTAATATTTTAGACACTATATTAGTCAAACTGATCCCTCTGTGATTGTCACAAGAGGACTTTTGTCCTTTCTTATAGACTGGAACAATCAGTGATTGGGACCAGTCAGATGGAATTACGTCCAGTTTCCAGATTCTACCTAAGACCTCAGTCAATCTCACTGCTAGTACTGGACCACCATCCTTAAAAATCTCAGGGGTCAACCTGTCAGGGCCTGCTGCTCTCCCTCGCTTCAGATTTCCTATAGCTTTTTCAACCTCACAGAGGGTTGGAGGGCTTGCATCAATTTGCCATTCAGGACGACTGGGGATCGTGGGTAATTGTAGCGTGGTTGAAGGCCAGTTGAGCTGATCCCTAAAGTGTTCTGCCCATCGATCCAATCTCCTGGATTGAGAATGAATAATATGGCCATCTTTATCTGAGATGGTTTCACTGATATTCGGGTTCCTAATACCGGTTTCTTTAACGAGTCTGAATAGCTGCCTACTGTTACCCATCTCTCTTGCTTTCGCTACCCACCACTGTTCACGATCATTACGTAGGCTTCTTATAAGCCTGCGCTTAAGTTGACTCCGCTCTTCGTTATGTTCAGAGCCAGGTGGGATGAGTTTATGAGTATCTATCAGTGCGGTAGATGCTGCCGAGATCCATTGTTTCTCCCTAACGTTATGGTTTACCTTACTAGCGGATATCACTGCTGTTTCAAAAGCTTCTCGGATGTCATTCCACTCTGCCTCGGGGTAGACACAACTTACATGGCTGCCTAACTGTTTTTCTAGTTGTTCCTGAAATATATTCTTAGCTTGCCTATCATTATGTAGAATCCTTAGAGGCTTCCCTGCAGTGTCTTTCCTACGACCAGTAAGACCCAGACAGATACGTGCTCGCACTAAAGCATGATCTGAATCTAAACATGTGCCCCAGAATGAGCGACAGTCTTCTATCGAGCCCCTCCATCGGTGGCTGATAGCGATGTGATCTAATTGGGTCCAACGTTGGGACGAATTCGGGGGTCGCCATGTTAAAAGATGTTTTTCCTTATGCTTAAAGTTAGTATTTGCAAGAAATAGGCGGTTATCTGAGCATAGATGCAACAGACGGTCGCCATTATCTGTTCTTCCGCCATGACACCATAAGATCCACCCAGGTGTCTTTCCCTTTCACTTAGTTTACCTACTTGAGCATTAAAGTCACCTGCTACTATTACTACATCAGAACCCTAGCTTCTCGGAGAAGGTCAGAAAGTTTCCTGTAGAACTCATCTTTTATATCATCTGAGCTGCAGTCAGTGGGAGAGTAGGCAGAGACGACAAGTTTCCCTATCTTTCCGGGTCCTTACTGATCCGTTTAGTCGGACAGCGCATAGACGACTGTCTACTGGGATCCAGTCTAAAAGAGCTAGTTCTGCCCTAGGACTTAATGCTTTACCTACTCCAGCGAGGCCACGGGAAGCAGCATCAGGGCTTCCACATACACGAAGCGTGTATCGAGATGAAACTTTATTTTGATTAGGTGCGGTCAAATGAATGACACTACTCGGATCTTGTATGCGCGTTTCGGAGACGCAGCACACATCGATGGTGTAAGATTCTAGAGTCCTAGCTAAGGAAGCCTGTTGTCCTATTTGGCACAATGTTCGGACATTAAACGTTCCTACATGTAGTTTAGAGCGTGGTTTCAGGAGACCAGGAATAACGTTCTGTGTACTCGAATCGTTTGCCCTAGCGGTGCGAGGTGATAAAAGGACGTGGGAAGGGTGAGTCGTGGAGATAACAGAGTTATTAGGTGCAGGAAGGATTTGAAAGCGACCAACTTGGTCTTGTGTGCAGTTAAGGGTATGAGGGCTAGTATCACTTCCCGGCTGCCCACACCGTGGAAGGGTATTTCTTGAGGGACCTGAAAAAGAAATTGGATTAGTGTTGGTCTTAACGACCTGGGAGCGTGACCGCAGTGCCCAAAGGACAACTGCTTGAGGCCGGTCACACACGGCTTTTTTGTGAGGGATTTTTGACTTGTTAGCTCCTTTCTTCAAAAGTCCTTACCGCCGGAGACGAAAATTCGTGGGATAAGGCGAAGTGTGCATTTTTAGGGTCGACCCTTTCAAACCCAAATCTTTCCTTATGAAGAAGCAGCATCGCTGTCATGCTGGTTGTCTGAAGGAAACACTTCACTGCTTTCACAGCTCTGTACAGTCAGCATTACGACTTCGCCTTCGGACCTTGGGATTGCTGCTTTTAGTCTCATTGCTCTTCAACCGACCTGTCTGGCATGGTAGGACCTTGAGGAACGATTGTTCCAGCCAGCATAGCTCGATTGGATCATCACGATAGGCAAGCCCGACCACCACGTCAAGGTAGCAGCAACGGTCGGGTGATTTCACGTGAATGACTATCACTCATGTCGATCGTTCACTCCAAACCTAATTACGCTGAAACTCTATTTTCAATAGTTATGAAGCAAGGACTTGGCAAAATTAAGTCATAACAGTGTAACATTCGATGTAGATAGCCAACATCTAATGGCCGACGAAGCTTGTACTTACATTTAGAATGCAACCGGTTACCTAGTGTTATTTTTGCGTACTTAACCAGAAAATTTGTAGGCAAATCGATAAAGACTTCAAAGTCTATGTCAATTATGGGATTAAACTCGTAATGTGGTAGACTTCACTCTACTACACATCTAAAAAGATATTGATTATACAATTTAATTTAGAGCATATAGGGTAAACCATTATGATTGAATACTTTCAGTGTGAAAAACACTATCCATAATATCTTAACCACATAAAACGCTGACGTTCTACTCTAATTAAACGAAAAGGACAGGAAGACTTTAAAGAAACGAAAAGGGCGAGGGAAATGTGACCACGTGAAATATCAACTTGAAATCCTAAATACTACTGGTACTCATGGATAAACGTAATGAGTCATAATTCTGTTTTGCCTCTTCAGCTTCGTAGAAGCAATAGTTTTTCATACTCTAAGCAGACTAAAACTGCGCTAATACAGAAAAAAAGTCTGTATTCATAATTTTATTAGGTCCAACGAACTTGAAAGTACAAAGTGATCACACGTACATACCAAACTTATGAACTTCAGAATAACATAAGTACACGGTAATCTTGGTCGCTGTTGGTAGATAAGGTAGTACCACAACATCAACTGTGCGTACGTCAGTTGGTCATACCAGATGGAAAAGGCTTGACAACAAATTTTGAAGACCACGGTCGGCCAGCGAATTACTGTGGAAAAATTTAATAACAGAACGGTCTTACTAGATAAACTGCTAGTCAGGGTGACAACCCGTCGTTGTGACATTCAAAATCGTTTATTGCTTTTAATTGACGAATAAGCGATTCCTCTTCCTGGACGATAGCCGACTTGGTTAACGAACATACCTCAGTTATGTCATTTATACGTACAACGCTTGGTGGAATATCAAGCATTGGGAGGCATAAATTATCACAATGTTGTTCGTGACTTGTAGCTATACAACTTTCATCACTTTTCTAGCGTGAAGTTTTGAAGCAACAAGAACCGCTTACCATCTTGTTAAGTTTTTCCTTGGTATGCTTATCATACAGTTCAACAATTCTGTCTCTGCAAGCTACCCGTTTCTTGACAAGGTTCATTAACTCACAATTTAAAAGCCCAGAGCCGTCCATTTTAGTTTTGCCGCGATCTAATTTTATACAATAGCCAATGTGTGCTGCACTTTCTCAAGAATACTTGAGTTCTTTATTTAAGTAGTTGAAATGCTTTGCTGCATCCTCAACTTTTAAAAATTACTAATTATCAGCGATTCAATCTCATGGAAGTCAGCGTTCATTACATGTTATCCTCTGTGTTACAGTATCAAAATCTGTTATATATGTAATCCAGAGTGTAACAGTTGATTAATAGATCAGTCGTAAAGTTAAATCCCCAAAATAGAATTACTATTGGTAATTAAAGCCGTGTTTTGCAGGTGATTTATCAACTAACACCATTTTGGTCCATCGCCATTGAACTCGTCCAAGGATATCCTCTTTTTACTTAAATCAAGGACTCACTTTTTTAATCCCACAGTCCAAGTGCGGCCTCACAAAGTCGTGAGATATGACATTATCAATTCCTCGCTCATGTAGTGAGACGGCTTGCGAGTAGCCTGTAAGACTTTGAAGCCTTGAGCACATTCAGCCTGACAATTACTTGTAGTCCTGTGGTCGATGCTTATTATAACTACTAGGTCTTCGTGATCCATATCTTTAGGCAACAAAACTTCGTTTGTTGTGTAGTGATATGAATAGTCAAGGTTTCTTATTCATATTAGTACACTCTTGTTAGAATAAACTTCTTATAACTGCCTGAGCATCTAAAGATGTCTTAAGTATTCGGAGTTTGATGGTGCCTTAATCAGTAACACCTTTATAACTGCAGTATGCCAACTCAGTCAAATCAGAGGTAATGAAGGCTATCGGTATGCCAAAGGAACGGTTGATAGGAATTTCTAATACTGTTTACCTACTTGTGATATGGTTAGGATATTTGACAGAGATCCTTCAGTTTAGTGAGTCCAGTAGGACTAATGCAGTCACCATCAACTTTCGAAGACTTATAGAGCTATTTATTAGGTGAATCTATTTACCGCTACACATTGATTCAACCAATGAATTTAGGTCGTCCTATAATGTTATTCCATCTGACATACTGGGTATAGGTACTTATATCATTCGTAAAGAGTGGATCAAATGATTTTATTGCTTTCGGCATAGAGTAAAAAAGAAGAGGACCGAGAATTTCGCATTGGAGGCCACCACTTTTCATGGATTGTCATGTTGGTAAAGAAAGTCATTCATTCAGTTTATGGTCTCAGAAGGGATCCCAAAGCGTTTCCGTTTTAGTTTTTGACTCAGGAGAAGAGACCTTGTCAAATTTTTTACTTAGGTCCCCAAAGATTACATCTATCCACGTAATGCTATTTTTTACTGCAATCCAGTCTTTAATTGTAATGAGGAGTTCTGTCAAGCATGATAGGTTTTTTGTAGAATCCTTCGTCACAGTTTACAACAACCAACAGGATAATTTTTTCAATTCATTTGGCGATTACACTGGTAAGACTTATGGGTCGATGGTTACTAAGATTTTGTTCACAGATTATAGAATAGACTGATTATTGCGTCTTTCCAGTTGTTTGGAAGTTTCGACTGTCCCAAAGATTTAATAGTAAGACGTGGTACTAAGCAGTTTATAAACCGGAACCAACTTAATGTAAGTCTACCTTTTAATGTAATCTATCCTTCTTCAGTTGATGAGCCTATATATACTGGCCAGCCCGTTGAAGCAGCACACTCATGCATGGATGTTATGTCTGCTTTCCACACATTTAGGAGAGCTCAAACCCGATCACATACTATGTTACAGGCTTTAAATACGAATAACGAAACAGGATGATATCTATTTGACGAGTGATTACTAAGCTTACGAAGTAATATTCTTGATCTGAATCTAAACCTGCGGGATTACCAAGACAAGCTCTATAATCTACATGGGGAGCCTACCATAAAAAAATTTTCAATTCACACGGCGTCCATCTCTGTCCAACTAACGTCAGGTTCGTACAAATCTTGTAATACCAGATACCTGTTATTTCTATGCGATGGCTGAATGTGTTTTAAAATGAAGTTATCCGCTAAGCAGATTAGACTATGGAAGACGGCACCAGGTATAAAGGTACAACCTTCAAAGGTTAGTTCATAGCCAGTGACAACATAAGTTCTACTATCTTGGGCTCTCCAAGCAAATGATTGGATATTCATATCATTACTTATGTATATAGGGATCTCACCCCTTTTCCGTGTCTAGTCCCATCACTTCTAAATAGTTGTATCCTGATAATTCTGGAGTAACGCCGAAGCCTTTCACGGACCATGTTTCAGTTGCAGCCACGGTGAGTGGCTTTGATTCATACACCACTACTCCTAGTTCGTGGGATTTGTTTAACGGACTAAGGACATTTGTATATATATCTAAAAGCGCTCGGTGGCACTCATTTACAAGATCGGATGACTTAAAAACTTAGTGAGTAATCGTTTTCTTCTCCATTATACCGACGGCTTTTCACTTCATCTATTGCCGCCTTCCATTTTGGTCAATCCTCTAGAAGCGTATTAGGTCTTATAAAAATGTCATGGCTTCGAACACTTGTTAACAAAACTTTCATTGTTCCCTCAACCCAGGATTGCCTTCAGATGTTCACATGGTCGGGGTTCGTTATTTATTGAGTTTTCCTATCTATTTTTACCGTAATTTTGACCGAGATGCTGGTACAGTTATTTGTTAAGCCGCTACTAATAAATGTTCCAACCTCTTCCAAATAATGCATGCATTTATTTTTTCGGTCAGTGTTGTTTAGCTCTAGCAATTGACTTGCAATGATATTTCACAAAATCAAGCCGTTTCTTGGTATGGTCTTAGTTCTGTGGCTCAGGATAGCAGACTATCAAAGACCGAGCAAACAAACAAGGCTGTTGCGGGGGTGTGTGTTTTTATTAGGCTCTATTTTTCGGTGTTTCGTGTTCGAATGTTGGGATCCTGTGAGTACTCAAGTTATCAGTGCAGTCACCATCAATTTTCTTGCTGATAAAACCCAGAAGGCCTATTGCCTATCAGACCAGTGATGTATTATTGGAACAATAAAACGTTTCAAGCCAACTGGACTTAAGCTTCCAGCAACTTGTATATGCGGTCTGATTTAACCACTAAACGTCATGTTCAACAACATTTTACACTCAATACATTGCACTTCTTCCTTCACAGGGAAGAAACATTTTGACTGTCCACACGTATGCGTAGAGTAGACAATCGCAAGGAGATTTGGGGGGAAAAATCACCAAATGTACACAGGATAATCATCAGTGTGAGCATTAGGTGAAATAAGAGTATCACAAGACAGATTCGGGAAAAATTTCAAACCTTAATGGGAATAATTTAAGTTAAAATATGCTAAGTATGCTTTCGATGCAATAAATACGCAAAGGCAGGGTTAATTCACAACAGACGAAAAGCCCCTCCCCCATTTTTGCAAGGCGTGGGCTCAGACACAACGAAATTAACAATAAAAAGTCAAGTGATGAAACGGACGTCAAGGTAAATACTGACAAATATTTTAAATTGCTCTGGTCAAGTTTCTTCGTGCACGTGTTCCAGATTTCTATTACTTATGGGCGCCACCGCTCAGTTGATACACTAATGTTGTCGTTGATGCCAGTATTAAGAAGTTCATGTCATCGGAGCCTTAAAGGAGACTTGTGTCACCGGACTATGACGGCCTTATAACCTCGAAATGTCCACTGCATTGGTCTTCATTCTCTCATTAAAATTAAACATCTATTTTTAAATCTTCTAATGTAGATTACATTCAAGTCGAGTGATCATTTGGTTGATATTCGGTGTTATTCAACTGTCACCACAATTAAATACCTAACCTGGTTTACCCTCTTTTCTTTATCAGGTTAAGCGGATAACTGAGTCCGGTAAATAGAATTTTATCAAATTATCATATTTGACTAGAATGGATAGTTTACATAAGTGCACTACCGTAAGGATAAATTTATGGGGTACAGCTGGTTAATCGCTGTTAGTCTCACCCAACATTAGAAATCTTCGGCCAGCTGTTTAACGTTTTGTAATTCCATTTTGAATACAGAAATGATGCATCTTGATGGACGACTTGGCTGAAGCTTTGGTAGATTTTTCTGGTCCTACGCAAATATTGACTCGGAGTACTTATTTTACATACTGCTGTTTGATGAAGATGCCGACAAAATGAAGTCCTCCCAATGCTTTGAATCACAACGAAAGCTTTAAATTTTTGCTTGCTAAAAATAAATGATTTTCTGAGCACAGTTGCAACAGACGATCATCATTATTTGTTCGCTAAGCTGGGCTACTAAAATATCCACCCAAATGTCTTTCTGTTCAGTTCAAGTAACCTACACTGGTATTAAAGTCACCTGTAACGAGTACTAAGTCTGAGAGTTTAGTTCTATGAACAAGTTCTGAGAGCTTTTTGCAAAAGTCATCTTGCACTTCATCCAGGGAGCGTATGCAGAAACGACGAAAAGGTAACGACGTGTGTCCCTATCCTTCCGAGTTCTTACGGAGCCATTTAGTCGAACGGCACATAAGCGATATTTAACGGGGAACTATTCTAATAGTGCTTGTTCTGCCCTCGTACTTAGTGCTATGCCTACACCTGCCAGTCCACGAAAACTAGCCATGGGGTTACCAGATACATGGAGGGTGTATCTCGTTAATTCTTCAGTGTGGCGGGGTGAGATCAAGTGAGTGACTGCGTGTTTCTGAGACACAGCATACATCAGTGGTACGAGATTCTAGAGTCTTATCCAAGGAGGCCTGTTGTCTTATTTTACATGGGGTGCGTATGTTGAAGGCTCTAATGTGTAGTTGGCAGTTAGGTTTTAGTAGATCTGGGACAGTGTTTTGCGCACTCGAACCGTCGGCCATGGTGACACTTGAGGAGGAAGCCGAAAGAGGAATTTCGGTGTCGAAAGTCGAGGTGGGAGGAATAATAGCATTTGAAGAAGGAGATTGATTATGAATACAGTGATCTTCAGTGTTGCTATAGGTATGAATGGGGTTATCGCTTCCCCGGCTGCTCACACCATGGAAGGGTTCTTGTGCATGTACCTGATAAAGATATTGGATTACAGATGGTCTTAGTGATCTGAGAGCGTGACCGCAGTGCCCGACGAGCAACTGCTTGAGGTCAGTCACACACGACCTTT